CTTCCCTTGTAGAAGTCTGAACTACGGTTGTCTTTTTTTTGTTAACTGTTTTTTCAAACCAGTTATATCGTTTTGAAAAAGGGTTTGATAGCTAAGCTCTTGGTTTGTTTTTAGCCGCTTTGTCCGTTGGGTCGCTCTTGAACCATGGTCTAATCTTGAAGCTTTTGGGAATCTGTGAAAGTTACAGTAATTTACTGAAAAGTTTATAACGGATTGAGCCAAAGTTTTCTTTTAGACTTCTGCCGAAGGATTTTTTGAGAACCGATCGATACAGAGAAGTACTTGCTTCCCCGCCCCACATTTTATCCAATGGGCCGCAATGTTTTAAGAAGTTTCTTTGTTTATTCCCTTAATTTTTGGTGATTTCAGCGTAATCGATGCCCCAACGATCAATTTTTTTTAGGTATTTGCAAATTTTGATGCACTCCGAGCAATTACTGCCGTAGTGGTAGATCTCCTTGTATAGTTGTGGCCAGACCATGTTCTCTGCTAGAGCCTTCATCCGAACTTGTCACCATTCGTCTTGTGAAGAAAAGCCATAAATGAGGTTTTCAATGCTGCTGGTACCACTAGTTGGTTCTCGTTGAACAAAAGTCCGCCCTTTGTTTCAAGATCCCATTGTAACGTTTTGATATTGGCCATGAACTTTTTTTAGAGGTTTTCTTGTCTCCGCTGCGGTTTTGGTCTTTTGCAGGGTCTTTTCATCGTTTGTCATCAGATTGGTCATTTTTTCCGAGCAGCGATTTTTAATAAAAGTAAAATTAGGACTACTATTTTTTCACTATTTTTAGTATGAATAATGACACTTTGTTATCTATAAAGTGTCTTTTGAATCTTTGTTTTTCTGCGCAAATAGTTTTTTTTTCAGAGAAGGAGTTCGATTGGAGGGGGGAAATCATCTCATTCATGTCCAAAGAATTCGTATTTGGGTTTGGTTTAACTAAAAATAAAGATAAAAAAATAGATAACGCTTATCTGATAGCATCAAGTAATTGAATGCAAACTATGAGAAATCTAAGAAACCTGGAGCTGTTTGTGCAAAGTTCTGAGCGATAGTGATCAGAAACACAATTTCTAAATGTAGTTGTGACGTTTTTTAAATAACCCATAAAAATATACTTTGAGAGTGTAATAGGTGTGCAGTCTTTCCACATGACAGATGTATACTAGTAAAAGCATTGATTTAATTGCAACAATTAGCGAGCAACGAATTTACTACATTTAATTCGTTCCTTTTACACTTCTGCATTTTGGCGTTTCTAATACGTTTAATTGAAAATGGGTTTTGGAGATCTTGATAATTTTTGCAGCTACGATTTTGATTTTTGCAATTACTCAAAGTTAATAGGTTAAAAAAAAACATTCCTTTCCCTGGATAAGTCGTATTTTAAAAATTGAAGTGAAACAATCTATTCATCTACCAGGTTATTCTACTATGCATTGCTTTGCCACGTGGCTAGCGTTTAACGCGAAGAAAAGTGATTTATGATCCGTAACGATATCAAATTCTGTGCAATTAAGAAAAATTTAAATTGTTTTATTGCCCGAATAACATATAAAATTTAGCAATTGTGGTTCATTTGTCAAATTTTTCTTTCCATGAGAGTTTAAAACCTAAATAAAAAGGCTATAGTGATGCTGGATTCTTCTTCCCAGTTTTTAAGCATCAGTCTTTAATCGGCATATTTTCTTGATGTTGCAGTCGTTACTCTCTGTAATTTATACAATTTGATTTTTGAGATATTCAAATGTATTGGAGTGGGTTTCATTCCAATGGTAAAGCTGTACTTTTGTAACGGGCGTAATGAGTTTTATAAGGCAAATAGTTCGGAATAAATTTCTTAAACCGAGCCACTGAACCAAATAAAAAACGTAATTTTTATATGTTTTCACGGGTTTAGCAAATTCTTGATCAATTTTGCTTTTATAATCAATAGTATTACTACTTTTTTTTGAAATTTGAACCCCAATCTTTTGATATATAAATTTTAAAAGTGTTTTTTTTTACTTCACCGCCAGATTTTTGTTTCCAAGTGACTCTCAAACTTTCAATCAAACTGCATTGTGTTTTTTTCGATATTTTTGAGGTAATTGAAAAATCGTTCACATAACGGTTTGTGAACAAGATGTCCTTTAACAGCGAGTCCGTGATCCATTGAAACTTATTTGGCATATCGCCAAGTCCTTAAAAAACTGTTCAGGAATCAGTAAGTGCCAATGGTTTTGCCTTCCACCCACACTCACTTTGCTAAAAATGCAATTTAATTGCTTGCTTTGTCAAATAATTTCAATTGACTGTTTGCATTTCGATAAACGAGATTGATTGAGTTTTGGAGAGAAATTTTATTGATATCGGCATTTGATATTTTTTCTTATAAAACTGGTTGCTTTACTGTTTCGAGTCCAAGTCTAATTTTATAGTTTCTTCTTTTAATCTAGTTTTTAGTATTGGAATGTTTAAACCTTTCTGGTCACATACGGCCAGTCTGATGATATGTCCCTCTGTTTTCTTCCTTTTCAAATCGTTTTGCTTACACGCTTAGAATAATTTTAATGACAGTCCTCAAAATTTTTTTCTGTATCGGTTTGAAAGGGGTGTGAAAATGTGTTTTTTTTTTTTCGTCTCCGACGGGATTTTGCCGATTTTTGTCAAGATATTCAGAAAACTTTTCGACATGTAGAAAATGTAAATATGAGTTACCAAGATTCAGGAGAGCCAAGTTATTGATCAGCTGTAGACATTGCCTCTATACTTCGACCCCCAATTATGGTACAGTGTCGAACCCAGATTGCTTTGCTTGTGCCCCGACGTTATAAGCAAAAGTGTCTCCTCGCTCGTCCGTCCTTCAACCACGTTTATGTTAATGATTTTGTTGGTACTGTTTGTGTCTACTGGCAGGATTTTCAAAAAACTGCTCCTCAGTGTCAATTCGAGAGTTGCATTGGGTTTTGAAAAACTGACTGAGCTTGCCGAATCAACTGGTAAGTTCATATTTACAATTGAACTGTTTTCGAATCTAACATTTGTTAGTTTTTTTCATTTCCAGGTTTTTCTGGTCGTAGATTATTTTAATGTCTATTATGGCAAAATCGTCATTCTTCTGAGCAAGCTTTTTTTCTCCGCAATTTTTTTCCATGTGCGTCATTGGTTCCGGTGGGGTATATGGAAGTTTCTGAATATTTCCAAATTCTTTGATAGTATTTACATCCAGTTTAGCTGATTTCCCTTTAAAATGTCCTTTGTTTTAACACAAACTATATACTTTTTTCGTTGGACATATATTTAGATGACCATTGGTAAAGCCATTTCCAAAATTCGTTTAAAAATTGGGTTCTGCTATGCTCAAGCTAGTTTTTTTTCGTAGAATTAAAATTTTTTGTCTACAATTTATTTATGATACTCGAACGTGCTATGTTTGTAAGCTTTAAGTGATTAAAAAATTCATTTTTCATTTAGCTTTTCTGACAACGTATCTGTTGGAGGCTGCAGTTTTTATTTTAAAAATGAAAACTTCAAGTATCTTTTCCTGTTCAGATATTTCTTCTATTTCTAGTATTTTGGCTAGTTCCGTACTTCCAGACTTTCTCATAAGGTTTGCGATTTTGTTCACGGCTCACATTTACTTACGTTCAAAGGTGATAATCGCTGGTTTAGGTAATGCAGTTTCCGGGAATATGAAAAACTCTTTAAAGGCGATTGATAGTTTTTTTTAACCGAAGGTAGTTTTGAGAGAAGAGTCTCTTACGTTCGGCTTCCAGGGCCAGATATACGATGAATCTAAACATTTTGTTCTCCTCGCATCTTCTCATGCTTCCGAATTTTCTCTTATTCACTGTGATTCGCTTTTCTTCAGCGAGCTCGTCCGTGCCAACAATGGTCCTTTCGAACTATCGGTATTGCGAATTTTCGTTGCAATGATTACGGAGTGAGATAGGTTAATCCTGTTGTTTGGGCGGTTTTACAGTATAATTTGACCAAACAGCAGGGATTGCCCGCATATTTCAATCAGTTGACTGCGTTATTATAGAAAATAAGAATGCCACTGGAATAATTTGACTCATTAGACTTAAAGGAGTAAAACAGAACAATGATAGCCGGTTACTGTGTTACTGTGCAAGAAGCACAGAAATTTCCGACCGTAGTCTTAAAAAAAAGACGACATTTTTTTTTCTAATTAGTGTCGTTTGTTTCTGAATGTTAATTTAAAAAGATCTGAACAAAAAAGGCACATTTGAGACACATAGTAAAAATTTCAATTGGACAACAGTTTTTTTTTACGAAACTGGACTAGAAAAACGAAAATAAAGTTTTTATAAAAATTGAAAATTTAAAAATTGTTTAAAATCTTTTTGCAGAAAGTTTTTTTAATTTTTCAAGTTTTTCCAAAATTGCTCTAAAAACTCCAAAACTATTTTTAATTGAGTGAAATTAAGTTTTCATGGCTCAAATTAAGTTTAAGTAAGCTACTGTAAGTCTACACAGTCACGTTTTTAGCTCAAGACTTGACCACAAATCAAAAACTTCAAACCGGTTTTTCTCGTTACTGTGGAAAAATCTTTAATTTTTTAACCATTTGCAAAGTTTAATATGATAAATCACTTGACCCATTCGGATGAAAAGTACCTGATTTTGCATGGAAAACAAAAAATATCAAAAAAATTTTTATAAAATAAAAAACATTAGACTTCAAGATTTTTTCTGTATAAAAAAGATATTTTGACTTTTGGGGTAATGAAAACTGTCGATGTTTGCTACCCAGTGCTACCCGCGCATAAAAGGCTAATTCGCTTAAACGTTACGTTTTAAAATAGCTGGTTGCACAGCAAGTTACACTCTTGATCTTGGTAGATAACTCTGTTTTTACACAGCAAGTTACGCACTTGATCTTTGTAGATAACTCTGTTTTTTATTTAAAATTCACTTTTAACTACGGAACTAACACTAATATAGCACCTAGAAATGTTCTTGGAGTCACGAAGTATAACTTGATGCAGTAGCTCTACACCATATTATCGTCTTCCTCATCTTTGTCTTTGTCTTCATCTTCCTCGTCTGCGGATCCAGACCCCATCGAACTGCCTTTGCTTCTCTTTAGAGACTCCGCGTTCAGACTTTTCTTGATGCTACTCTTGCGAACCTATAATTACGATATCAAAAACTAGTGTGTTATTCATTCATGATATTGTTTTAGTAAATTAATTTTATAGCGTTTGAACATAAAAGCATTTTTAGATCGCTTCGAGTTCGGAAACCTACAAACAATCTGTATAAACGTACCTACTTTATCACACTAAAGTGGGGGACTAAAGTTAGCGACATTTTTTGGTAGTATGAGTTTCAATTTGTTCGAAATCATTTGAAAAAGCTAGTTGAATCACGCCTCGTGTTGGAGAACTACAGGCAATGTGTTACTTATTGAGACTACTTTTTGTGAGTGGATATACATTTTGGCTACCATGTATAAATGGCTACCATGCTCTGTGCCCTGTAGTTGTCCACTTCGTCCCTGAGATCGTCCCTCTCCTTGATGGCCTGCTCCTGGTCCTGTCTCAGGGCACTGGACATGTAACTGTGTCTCACTTCCATGTTGCCCACCTGAGAGATACCACACAGAGATCACAAGTGGAACTACAACCACATTCAGCTGAACTGAGAAAGGTTCTGTGATCATATGAGAACTTATCCATGTTAAAACTCTTAGTTGTAACTTAGAGAATCTAAGTGCGCACCGATCCACAATTGTTACAACTGAAGATGGTTAACTGGATTCATTGCCTTACCAATTTAAAAAGCAAAAGAGTTTCCATGAATAACTCGTAATTTTAGTTACGTGTTCATAAAACTCGTTTAACTTGTACAATTTCGGCGTCCAAATAGCGAAATTATGCCTTCTGGCTTCCATTGGACAGAAAACCGCCAATCATTGGTCGGCATTAATACTTCTGAACTTAACTTTTGTAAAAATTTTTTTGCTTGTTTCCATTATTGTTGTTCCCAAAATTTAAAGTGTGCAAGACTTTTGGATAGGGTGTTTTTCTACGCAAGTTCATGTAACATAGAAACCTTAGTTGAGCATTGATTAAAATATTTTGAAACCTTTTTGAAAGTTACTCTAAAGTTAACCGAAATTTCCGATAAGTTTTCTTAATATTGAATAAAAAATGATCAGAATGTTTTGGTTTTCGGAATCTCTTTAACCGTAAAATTAAATTCTTCATCAAGAGGCGAAAATTCATCTTTGTGAATTTTGGAGACGAAAATATTTTTAAAAAATTTTGCATCACTAATTGGAAAATTAAAATCGTTTCCTGAAAGAGCGAGATCAACATCGTAGCAACCGCCCTCTAAAAAATAATTTTAACAAAGAGTTTCCATTTTTAATATAGTTTTTTGAAAACCTTAATCGTTTGATTTGTTTGTCAAAATGTATTTCAAACATTAATTGGCACCGAAAGTTTATATATTAAATTTTTTATGAAATTTAATTTTTTTATGACAAGCTACTAACAGCTCCTTCCAGTTCCACCATCTTCTTCTTCAGCTGCCTGTTCTCTCTTGCCAACTCCCTCTGCTGCTTAGTCACCTCGTCCAAACTCTGCTCCAAAAACTGGATCTGCTTCTGGGCAGCCGACCCGGGTGGGTATAAATCACCAGCTCCGTCGTCATCTGGAGGTTGGATAGCCGCCGGGTCCATTGAACCCCCGCCCGCCGCAGCACTGGGTTTGGCTGCGGATCCGGACATAGCAGCACTTCCGCTCAACTTGGGTGCATCCGGGTCTTCGCCGTCGCCACCTTCGTCACCCTCGGCCCCTTCAGCTCCTTCGGCACCCTCGGCACCCTCGGCTCCGCTGCCACTCGGTTTGGCGCCACTTTCGCCTGGCGGAAGATCCTCATCACGAAGGTCTTCGGGATTGTCGACCATTGTAACTTCAGCTTGCTTTGGGTTTTCCCGCATTCGTTGGATTTCACTCTTAAACTTTGCTGAAAATGAAAACTTCGTTTGTCGCTCAAAAAATAATAGAGTTTACAAACGCATCTCGAATTTTGCTCAGGAAATAATTGAGGTATCCAATAAAATGATTTTCCTGTTCAATCACTCTTTAATGCTCTAAAAAGTCCTTGAAAACTTATTTGATCGAAACTTGACAGTTTGAATATATTTTTCAAAAGCTTTTCAGAAGAAAAAGAATGTTTAAGCTTCCGAATGCTATAAACCTAAACTTACTCAGTAACTTTCAATCAGAAAAAGATCAGAAATTTAGAGAAAAAAAATACAATACATTTTGTCTAAATGAAACCACTATCTTTTCTTAAACGTTGCACCCTTACATGTCATCTCCTTTTTGATCTGGTTCAGTCTCTCCATCTCCTGCAGGAGGTCATTGTTGATCATGTCTGCCCCCAGAGCCCCTCCCCCATGCTGTGCTATGAAGTCCGCCTCATTCTGCATCTGATAAACAGAGATTCACATACAAAATGGGTTTATTTAATTCATAACTCTACGTGCTGTACTGATGGTGTCATGAAGCCTTAAATACTCTCCTTCATATGATATAAAGATGTATACATTTTGATCGCTTTGATTGGCCATCACAGTCATAGGTTTTCTTTATTTTCTGACTGTATAAACACCATTATAAGCTTTCAATAGTATGTTCGGTTATGAAAAAAGGATCAAAACCCAGAATTGAAACAAAAAAATTTCTGAGAACTACCTGGTTTTTTTTTCTTCAAAATTTCAAAACTTCTCTACCAAATTAACCTCTTTTTCAACAAAACTCTCTCAAATTTAATGAATCCCAATTAACAAATACAACAACAAAAAATTTCAGAAAGCAATCAAAATAAAACAGAAACTAACATCCTCCTTCTCCTTTGCATGTTCTCTCTTCAGCCTCTCTAGCTCTGCCTTGAGCTTCTCGTTCTCCACCTGCAGTTCGTCCCTCTCCCTACTCGCCTCCTCCGCCTTCTCCCTCGCCTCCTGCTCTGCCGCATTCACCTTCTTCAACTGATTACGATGCTCATCTCTGATCATCAACAGGTCGGGGTCCAGGTCTTCGTCATCCATGTTCTCACCTATCAGGCAACATTTTTAGGCTCTAATGAAGTTTGCCATATCTTACAAGATTCTAGGAAATGAGAGCAAAAGCAAAACTATTATTTCTAACCTTGGAGAAAATCGCAAGAAATGATCAATCAATCTATGGCACAATTAATATAATCACTCGGTGTTTTCAGACTAGATCTTGTCCGGTAAAAACAAAAAACCAAGTGGTTTGAAATTCACACTTTCAAAAACAAAATTTCAGTATCAAATTTTTCTCTCTTTCAATTTATAACTCAAAAACAATCAGAGCTTAAAAACCAACAATTAGTAGCTGGTTTCATGAGAGTTTCAAGGGCCTGCTGGAAATAAAATTTTGGTGTTCAAGGGGGTACCTCCCCCCAACTGCGTGATCATGGCATCTCTCTTGGCTATCTTGTCCTGCATCTCCTGGTTCTGCTGTTCCAACTCCTTGTTCCTCGCATCCAACTCCTCCAACTTTTCCTTCGCCTGCTGCATCATCATCTTCAGTTCAGTCACCTGGTTGCCCTCTAATTCACTCTGACCTTTCTTGTCCTGGAGAAAGAGAGTTCGTTGAGAAAGACAATGTTTATCAAACAAGCTGCTACTATTACTATCAACATCACTTATTGTTTTCTATTGCAATTTTGTTTCAACTGCAGAGATTACCGGAAGATAATTGAAAAAACCTACAGATTAAAGCATGATTCATTTGAAAAAAAAAAATGGATTGTTAGAACCTAAAACTTATTTTGGATTCAAATGCATTGTTTTTCATTTTTCTTAAGATTCAAAATCATAAATTTGGACTATCTCTCATACTTTTTATCGCGATTGCAGAAACTGAAAAAATTTTCTCTAATTCATAGAGGCTTTTCTTACGTCTAGTTCTCGTTTCAGCTCATTTAATTTTCTCGCCACTAGAGCCGCAAAATGCTTGTTCTTAGCCAATAGAGACCGAATACAAGCATAGCACTCCTTGGGTCTCTTCGGGTCAGGCTGCCGGTACTCGAAGTGATGTTCGTTCTCTTCGCCCACCATTGTTTTACCGATTGCAGAGAGTTCCTCGCATATGATGACTAGTTTGCCTCCATTTTTCTCGTCTGCTTGAGCTAGTTGCTCTTTTGCTTCTTCTAGCGCTTCACAAACTCGCACAGCTTGCTGAAAATTATTGAGAAAAAGTTGGCTGAGAATTCAAAAAAAGCTCACAGTATTGCTCGATGAGTCACTTTGAAACTTCATTTATGAGTCACTGTGTTTTTCATTTCTATTACGACAAAGTTACGTTTGTCAGTGGTCTATTTAGAAAAAATTTGTTGACAAAAAAATACACTTGTATTCGTTTTCTGAAGTAGTTTCACAAAATGGATCAAATTTAATATCATTTAACCACCAAGGAAAGACAGAACGTAGTGAAGTCCGCCGTCATGTCCATGGGTTAAGACTTATATGCCACTTTTTAGTTTATATTTCACTTATCTGAGGGTTTGATTGTACCCAAAAACAATAAAATACCCGATCGGTCACGAGATTCATGTAGAGCGCTAGATTTGAAGTTCTTACCGTCTCTAACTGGTTCATCTTGGCCTGGTTGCCCCTCAACTCCTCCTGTCTGTTGTTCAACTCAGTCCTCGCCCTGTCTGCCTCCTCCAGGGCCTCCTTCAACTGCTGCTTCAGCTTCTCATTCCTGGCCTGGTGCTGCTGGATCAGCCCCTCCAGTTCTGTGATTCTGGCCATCGCACTCCTGTGGTCACGGGTCACTCCTTTCAACCCCTCTGCGTGCTCACCGCGCTAAATGCAAAAAATATTGTTGCTGGAAGTAAAGATGATCTGTTCAAAACTATAGCGTCAAATGTTTTCATAGCGTTATTATAATTCTATAGGATCAGGTAACAAAGTAAATTAGGTGATGGTTTTACCTCCCTGCTAAAACTGCCTTTTACGCTTCACGTGCAAAAATTTACTCAACTTAATTTTCTTCTTCAATTATGTTGCCAGGGGGCGGATCCAGGATGTTATCGAGCTGGGGGATGGGGTCAGATTTTCAAAAAAAAAAATCGAAATTTTGGTCAACCCTTTTAAACTTTTTAAGATCGAGCACATTAATTTTCTAAAATTTATGACTAAAAAATCGCGTTGTTTCGGCGCACATTCCCCCCTCAAAATTAGAATATATTGGCGCGGAAGGCGCCTTCAAAAAAAGTTCAGGGTTCAGTCAAACTAATACGAAGGGGGAACGCAGAGGGTCCAATCCCTGAAGGGCGCGTCCATACCATCCCCCCCCCCCTAAATACGTTACTAGATATTACTTCAGCAGTGGAGTGTTTACTGGCGAATTTTTTTAGCCCCCTCCCAGCATACAGGTGACTGGATGTACTGACCTCTCCCTGTATGGTGCGTATCTTCTGGGAGAGTGTGTGTATCTCGTCGTCCTTCTCGTCTATCTGCTTCTTCAGCTTCTCCCGCTCCTCCTCCAACTCAGCCGTCTTCAGCTGGATCTAAAAAATGCGGAATCGTCAGAGTTTGGACAAAATCAAAATTGCATCTGAAAAATTACTTCAAGCCAACACTATTTATTGTTCCAACTTATGAAGAAAATGACGGAATCGTTGAGCTTGCAGTGGTTCTTTCTCCAGGACAATTTCGACTTTTCACAAGCCCTTTTTAACCGGAGTTCTTTATACCATCTGAAAGCCAGTTATCTCTTAAGATCAATTAAAAAGACGTTTTTTTTCAGTGATATATTTTTTTGAAAAATAATGGGGGGTTTTAGCGCATTTGGGACAAGTAACGCGCATTAATTAACACGTAAGCGACTATTTAATCCGCTCTCAATTGGTTCCAAATTGAATTGAGGCAAGATATTTCTTGTTAGTAATATGATACTAGACACTGAGAACGTCACTTTGTACCTGGCATAGCGCGTGGGGGCGAAGGGTTTCAAAGTCGGAAAAAAGTTAAGTTTTACAATCTTTTTAAAATTTTATAAATTCTTTCAGTTTATGTTTTCAAAAACTGTATCATTGACGTTGAAGGGCAGTCGGACAATTAGGGCTGTGCCTTGATACGAGCAGTCTTATTGTTTGACTTTTAAAGAATGTGCGGAGTAATTTTTCTATACCATCGCAAAACCATTGTTGTTTGGACCTCAACAAAATATGTTTAACCAGTCATTATTTTTCACAAAACAACAATTGTTTGAATTTGGAGCTACTTTGACGGCTATAATTTAAATTGAAATAATTAACGCGCAATTTACCTCGTTTTATAAACACGTAAGTGGCAAAATAAATCCTTCTAAGATGAATTGAGGCAAGAAGTTTGATATTATTAATATGTTCAAACTCGAAAATTTTATCACTTATTACTTAAAACAGAGTTTGTGGTGGATGAACTAAAATTTTCAAGTACTCTGGAATTTCGAGGGTTTCTATAACCAGAGACCTTGTGATTGACGATAGAGGGCAGTGGGAAAATTCAAGGTTTTGCCTTGATATAAAAGCATTTTTTTTTGTTCCGACTTTCGATACGAAAGTAACGGAATATTTGTGGTCGGGGTGGATTTTTTTTCTTCAGACAAATTTCGACTTTTAACTAGCCATTTTTGACCACATTTTTTTTATCATTCGAAAGGTTTTGTTGCCGTGAGCTTCAATTTGAAAAAATGTTTTACCTGTGATCATTTTTATGTAGGGTTATTAGGGTTTAAATATTACCACTTTGGCCATTTTGACCAATTTGGGACAATTAACGCGCGATATAATTCGCGCTATTAACGCGTAAGCGGAGATTTAATCCGTCTTAGAAATTGTTCCAAATTGTTTAAATGAAGCTTATTCACAAAAATTGATTTGTTACAAGGAACGAAATCTATCCTTTTGTCATTTATATGGCGTGTGGGGGGATGATTTTCATTAAAAAAATTAAAATTTTAGAAAAAAAATTTCATTTTATTTTTTTTAAATTTTTTTCTATGTTATTACTGCTCCATAAACCTTAAAAGGCAGTCGCAGCATTCAGGGCTTCGCCCTGATACGAGCAGTCTTGTTCTCTTTATGCATCAAATTTTTGATGCGTAATATAAGGATCGGGTTCATCTGTTTTAAGATAAAACATATTTTTAAACTAAACTATACAAGCGTCCTTCTCAGAGTTTCTTATAAAACTACGTTTAAGTTTAGGTCTAGCTATCCAGCTGGTTTTACAATCGGCCAAGACTGAAAATTTTATTCATACTAAGCTGATAATTTATTATGATAATTGTGTTTCATCGCTCTGTAGGCCAAGTAGCTTGGTTGACCAGGATGTTCACCAGTAATCTCATTCAGATTATCTTATTGATAATATTAAGCTCAGTTTTCAATCAACCTTATTATCACTTATTGTTCCGACTTTCGATACGAAAGTAACGGAATATTTGTGCTCGGGGTGGGTTTTTTTTTCTTCAGACAAATTTCGACTTTTAACTAGCCATTTTTGAAAGAAATTTTTAACATAATTTGAAAGGTAATGTTGTGCTGAGCCTAATTTTGAAAACATTTTCCACCTGTGATCATTTTTTGTAAAATTATGAGGGTTTAAAGATTGCCATTTTGGCCAATTTGGGACAATTAACGCGCGATATAATTCGCGCTATTAACGCGTAAGCGGAGAATTAATCCGTCATAGAAATCGTTCCAAATTGGTTGAAAGAAGCTTATTTGCCATAATTGATTTTCTAAAAGGAGCGAAATCTATCCTTTTGTACTTTATATGGCGTGTGGGGGGAGGATTTTCATTAAAAAATTCAAATTTTTAGAGAAAAAAAAATTAATTTGATTTTATTACATTGATTTTTTTTAGGTATAATTACTGCTCTATAAATCTTAAATGGCAGTCGGAACATTCAGGGATTCGCCCTGATACGAGCAGTTTTGTTTTACATTTGCATTAACATATATTCTAGGTTTTATTGATGTATCAATTCGCTCCCTGGTAATATATCTTAACGCGTCATATGTTACCTTTACACGAACAGTTTAAACATTTCCTTCTGTCGTTGTTATCAACTATTGATCTCTTTAATCAAGTATTTCTATAAATAGCCTAAATCATTCCCAAAGCTTTCTTGTTGTAACAATACCTCAGCCTGTAGGACTGCAAGAACATCTTCTGGAATGTCGTTCTTCTCCGCTGTCTCCTTCAGCTTCTCACTCTGCTCCGCTGGCTGGGATCCATCCTCAGCCACAGTCGCCATCTGGGAACCCTTACCCATCTCTACGTCGCAAAAAAAAACAATTATTTTGCCAAGTAGGCTAATTCATAACTATTTATGAAAACATCGCGGATCGTTCGAACTTACTTTCAGTCAGAAATGTTTTTGCCATCAATTTTTTATAAAATTTTTTTCACACAATTTCTTCACACTATGGTTAGGATGGGGCAGGTTGTGTGTCCTAGCTAGTTTTTTGTTTAAAGTTCCGAGTCATAATTTGAGGAGCGGGGCGTGAAAGATTTAGTCGAGAGTTGGATGAATCATTTTGATACAATTGATAATTTTACAATTTTACAAACTCACTCGATTTAGATTGAGATGATCGTTTTGAAGACGCGAGAAGTCCTTTAGATTTAATCAAGATGCCAATTTGAACAACTTTTGCATTGAATACAAAAATGGAGAAATGTATCAAACGTAACTTACTTGAGCCGGCTTCTATTGGATGGCAACATAATTACATATAAAATAGAGTTTGAGTTAAGATTTGGGGGTTGGATGGGAAACATTCGAGTGTCACTTTCACTTGTCGGCTATTTTGGGTAACTCCCTAACTTATAAAACCTTATCAAACCTACAATAAAAATCAGTTATAACAACTGGGTTAAACATTATGCTTTTGTGTTTTCAATTAAAAGTACTGTAAATTTAATGCTTACAGTTCAATTAAAAGTAAACAAAAATGTCAGTAGTTTTTTGCACATGTGAGAAGTATCAATTGAAAAATCAGAGAAATTATTATAAGTTTATACTCACTTGACTCTGAAACAACAACAAAAAAAATACAATCAGACGAGATTTAAACAAAGTTATAGAGTTTGAATCAAAAAAGTATACCTCGAAATTTATATAATGAAAACTTCGAACGAAAGAATTAAAACACTTCAGTATTGCCCAGTTTAATACAAATGTTCTGTTTGAAAATGAGAAAAACTTAAAATTCCAAGTTAAGACTTTCTTCTCGTGACGACTGAGCTTGTTTGGTTGTTTTTCCTAGTCCAGAAAAAGATTGATTTGAAATTAAAAAAAAAACATTAGCCCACTTTTGCCCTTTTTGCCGGCCTCTACAGCTAGGGAAGTCTTGCTGAGTTTGCTCTTGAGGCGCTCCTTGTCTTTGGCCGCCTCCACCGCCTTCTCAGTCCCCACCTCCCCCGGCTCCCCATCTGTGGCACAGTCCAAGTCATTCAACAACTTCTCCAGATCCTCTATTTTGATCTACACAAAGAAGTCAGAAGTCTTCTCAAAAGAGAGATTCCTTTGCCGTCAATTTCTGTGCTAAAGGCAGTTCTGATGAATGAAGAGAAGCCAGCAAATCCATATTTGGGCTGCTTTAAAACTCATTTGTTATCATGGATCATCTCAGAACAACTAGCATATCTTGAAGCCAAGACAGCTTCTAAGAGTCTTAGACTCAGTTGAAAAGAAAGCGGATATTTAATATAAGAAATAAAACGTTACCTTTTCTTTTTTGGGATCCTTGCCTTTCCTCCAAGACTTGGTCTCCGTACACAACTTCAGCGCCAGTTCCTTGATAGTCCCCACCTAGAAAAACTCAAATTAATTCAGAATCGTCAAAATATCAATTCATGACGCAATTTTATTTCAGCTGCAATCAAAATATAAATAGTTAGTTGCCGGTATTTTTTGTTCATTTCAACGGCTTTTGATCATATAAATGAAGAACATATCTAAGCGATTATTTGAAAAAAATTATGTGTGCCTTAGCCATCTGGCTGTTATACAATCGCTTCCACTCATCTGGACTCTTCTCCACATTCGCAGTCACATTGTTCTTGATGGTCTTCACTCTAGTCCCGAACAACAGAGTAGACTGTGTCTCGCCCTCGTTCATCTTAGCCGGTGAACAGCAGATGATCATGGTCGTCTTAGAGTTACCGCCCAGAGATTGCTGAAAGATAAAGCTTTCAATGAAATTACAGTTTAAAAAAAAACAGTAATTTCTGGAATAACTTATCAACGTTTTAAGCTTACCACCAGCTTCAATGCCAAAACAGGCCAAGTCAATTGATTTGCACATTTTAACTTCGTATGGTAATTTTATTGATTTTGCGTTCATGTTTTTACTTTGATTCGGATGCGTTTTTAAAGGCAACTTCAAGTACCACAAATAATTGTCAAGTAGTGTCGGAAAGTTATTTTTTGTTTCTTTTTAGCTGTGTTTTCAACTATTAAAATCTACCCAGTCGTTTCTCAGATTATTCTCTCAATATTTATCAGAAATAACTGACTTGTAGAATCCTGGTGAGTTTGCTGTCTCGATAGGGCACGTGGCTCTTTCCCTTCTCAGTCAGAGCACTGATCACATTTCCCAGACAGGAGAGGGACTTGTTGATGTTCTTCGCCTCATCCAACGTCTGACCAGTCGCACCTGTTTTGCCCACCTAAACAAAACTCCAATCAGATTGTTCCGTTGAGTTTTTGAGGGCGTTGAATTTTGATTCATTGTCTTTAAAAATTATCAAAAAAAAATTAATTGTTAAAATTGTTAAACAGTCTTCCATTTTAATCTCGTGGTTTTGTGAGTTGGATCGATTTACAGAAACAGTGTATGAAAATGTTATGATAAAACCAAGGTATAAGGAAGAGTGCAAGTAGTTCGTACCTTCTCGCTGCCTGCGAGGTCGACCAGATATAGCTGACCAGATCTTTTTTCTCCACTATCTTTGTTTTCTAGTACAAACAGACCATAATAAAAATTTTTAAAATGAAAATAAGTTATGAAATTCAGACTATGATCCGCTCGTTGTTCGAACAGATTTTGATTTTAAAAAAATTTTTGTTAAGAAAATGCGCCGTTTTTCTTGATAGTTTTTCTGCGCACATTGTTTGCATTAAATGCTGGCCTGGATACTTGAGTGCCCTTTACTGACATACTGACCTTGACCGATGTTCATGAGGAATACGGAGTGAGACCTGGAGGAGTGTTCGTTCATGTTGGTCTGTCCGATACTCCTATTCTTCTTCCCTCTCTCTATGAAGTTCATGACCTCATTCGGCTTAGACACACTCTCGTCTGTCAAATTCTGACACCACAGAAAAACAAATTGAATTTCACCTGAACTAACTGAATTTCAAAATTTTCCTGGCAATTAGCAATGTTATTTTTTTGAGAATTTGAGAGAATTTGATATTAATATCATTATTATCTTTATAATTAGTATCTCAGATGAGAAAAAAACAGTATAAAAACAAAAAATTGCTCGTCCGTTCTTTAGACAGTTCCTATTTAAATAAGCGTATAAATAAATCAATAACAAAAAACTATTTGAAGTTGGCTTTTAGTCATGAACTTGAATAATAATCATGATAATACCATAAAACTGTATGAATAGTTTTGAACTTCCATACCTTAACATATGGCCTCTTCTTTTTATCCTCAGCAATGGGCAGATTCTCGCCTGTCTTCGGGTTGAGTAGATCTCTGATTTTCTCGTTGTAGATCTCGAAGTAGGATATCTGGATTGTGAAGTCCCAGCCTGGAGTCTTCTCAATATAGGCGAACACCTAAAAGTCACAGACGGCATTCTTCAAGTATAATTACGTAGAGAATGTTAATCAAAAGACTCTTATGTTAAATAAAAAACAATAAAGACTCTTTGTCTTCTGAAATTAAAAAAAAACTGTTTCAGATTCTTAAGAATTTTTTTTACAAAAAGCGGACAAAAAAGCAAAGAAATATATCAAGATTGAATGCAGCTTGATTTTGAATTGTTGCGGATGTTTAAACGTGTTTCAAGTTTATAGAGCACCTCCATGCAACAATTGTTTCTGGATTCAACAATCAAAACAAAATTATCGATCTTAAACTACTAAAGTTTGGGTTTTAGATTCATCCGGCGATATTCCTAACTTAGCAAGGTTCAGTTTTCAAACATATTCACCAAAACAGTTTACCTCCAGAACGAGACGGGGGATGATTCCCTGGCCCTCCTTGTCCTTCAGTGCTCCCTCCATAGTAAAAGTCTTCCCAGAAGCAGTCTGCCCGTATGCGAAGATAGTACCATTGTAACCCTACAAGCCATGTAATATTCAAGTTAACATCAGGGAAAGTGGCAGAAGTTTGTGTCGTTGAAAGTATGTTGAAGAGAACGTCTTGGATCCAAAGGTAGTCAAAGGCTGATGTATCAGAAACTGCAAAGAGCGTTTTAAAAAAGATTAATCTCCTTATAACCTTCAAGAAAAATTATAGCCTATATACCTGTATTTTAACAGACATCTATAGCAAACATAAACAGAGACTTCAAAAAATGTAGGAGAAAAAACTTTTGAGAGTGAGGAATGTGAGGAACAGCTACTGAGCTACTAACTGCCAGCACATCATCCAGCACATGTCTAGCCGAGACATCGTACACCTGTGCTTGAGTGGCGTTTGGTCCGATGACCGCGTCGAAGTTGTACTTCTTGTCGGCCTTGGCAGCCATGCTGACCTGGTTTCCATTCACATTCACCGCCTCCTTCTCCCCCTTACTCAATTCGTTCTTGTTCAGGGGACGCACGCGACAGATCACCTGTCAAGTTAAAAAAAAGTTCGACTGTTTTTTCTTTAAATAGAAATCATCAAAACGCGCAAGAAATTCTCCAAAATTACGAGAGCAAGATACTAGAGCAAGTTTCCTTGATGAATTGGAAATTTGGTCTCGGATAAAAACACTCGCATTTTCATGTGCTAGCAGTAAATGCTCACTTAAAAACACTTGAACACTTTGAGAGTGTATGATGGCAAGCAGTAGCGGATTTAGGGGAGGAGGACAGAAGGGGTCGCTCAGCTAAAATGGATGTCTTAAAAAAGTAGTATAAAGGAGAGCATTAAGTGGTCAGGGGGTGGAATCTCTGAAGGAGTAAGTTTTACCTCAGTAATCTTTGCCTTAAAAATCTAAAAATTTCTAAATCAGTGTTCTGAATACGTTATTCGAGTGGTTTTTTTGTTATTTGTCTCACCGATCTGATAAATTTAGACTTTATGTATTTATGTTGACTGCTTTTTTAATTTAAATTTTAGACTTTATGTATTTCTTATACCCTTGTGAATGTCTTTGCTTTTTGAGCTCAAATTTAGGAAATAATATCATCTGCGACTGATTTTGATAAAGGTTTTGGAAGCTTAATTGTTCAATATTTTGTATAAAGTGTCTTACATTTATGCTTGGGGTGTTTTCTACTCATTCAATTCGCGACTTTTTAACTAAGCGTTTTTGACGGAATTTGCTTGTGCCACATATTGATGTCTTGAGTTCAAATAAAAAAAAGCTTTTCCTACGATCGTTTTTTGGTGAAGTTCCGGGGCTTTGAAAATTGCTATTTGGCCAGTTTGAGATCAATCTGTGCGCGATATATTGCGTTCTTATAACACACTTAAGCGGCAAATTAAATGTGTTCAAAATTGAACTGAAGTCATCAATTTAGTTTTAACAAAACAAAACGAGACCCATAAATTTTCCGACTTTCGTAACGAAAGTAACGGAATATTTGTGCTCGGGTTGGTTTTTTTCAGACAAATTTCGTTTTTTTAACTATTCATTTTTGATGGGATTTTTTTAAATTTCATTCGAAAAGTATTGTTGTCCTGAGCTCAAATTTGAAAAGATATTTTACCTGTGATAATTTTTTGTAAAGTTATGGGGGTTTAAAGATTGCTATTTTGGTCAATGTGGCCATTTTGGGACAATTAACGCGACTTATATATTTCGCGCTATTAACACGTAAGCGGAGAGTTAGTCCGTCTTAAAATTGTTCCAAATTGGTTGAAAGAAGCTTATTTGCCAGGCTCTTTTCTAGTTCCCCCGTCCCTTTCAAAATACCGAGTTTAATTTTTTTTCGTGTTATTACGGCTAAATGCGTGATGTTACGCTGTAAAGTATGAAGAACAAATCTGTTCAGAATTGTCGATTTGTTCATCACGCCTTTGCATTATGACAACGTTAAATAGACTTGTCAGTATTAAATTTGAAAGGGGGGAACTGGAAAAGAGCCATTTGCCATAATTGATTTGTTGCAAGGAGCGGAATTTATCCTTTTGTACTTTATATGGTGTGTGGGGGGATGATTTTCATTAAAAGAATCTCAAATTTTAGAGAAAAAAATTCATTTTTTTATTACTTTGAAATTTTTAAGGTTATTACTGCTCTATAAATCTTAAATGGCAGTCGGAACATCCAGGGCGTCGCCCTGATACGAGCAGCCTTGTATAGTCTTTGTATTTTACAACTGGGGAATGAAGCAAAGAAAATATGACATACGCTTTTTTTTGTTTTTATTTCAATTTTTTGCCATATATTGAAACAAATTTTTTTTTAGTAAGCCTCTAAGTGCAGACCGACATTCAGTGCTTTGCCCTGATGTACGAGCAGTCTTCTTATGTATGTGACTGATTTGTCGATTTGACGAAAGTTGCTCCAAACTCAAATAAGGCAAGGTAAAGGTATTAAGAATTCCCTAAACGACTTTGTTCGAACTTTCAAAGAAAGTGACAGAGCGTTTGTGCCCGAGGTTTTTTTGTTTTGCAGAAAATTTTGTTTCCTAACAGACCATTTTAAACATAAGAGCAATGTGTTTCTTCTTAATATTTGATATTGGCAGTCCAAAACGTATAGTTGTCTTCAGCTTTCGCCGAGAAATTTTTTGTGGCCAGCTAATGGGCTAGAGCGTTCAACGCGTTTCCTTGATGTACAAACATAATGGTTATCATTTTAAGATGTTTGAAAAGCTTTTGCATTTCACTTAGCATTTTTGAAGAAAAAACTTGTCAGCTCAGGTTTAGCGCATAGGTTTGACATAGTTTTCAATTGTATCTACGTGAAAACGATATACAAAACCTTTTAAGCTAATTGAATCTATTGATAAAGAATATGACATAAGAAACTAATTTTATAACGCTAAAACTAAAAGATTTGTTTCGGAGTGACTGAAAATATCGACAATCATGATGACTGGAAATTGTGCACATAAAAATTTTAGTAATTAATTGACCCAAATTTCTTCTCACATTTCAACTAAGAAGCCTTTGTGACTTAAGTCAAATTGGGTCTCCATAATGATTTTCTGGCTGCCAGGATAATAGCTTGCGAGATTGGTAACAAGACAAAATCACTCTTAATAGATCCCGCATAAAAAACTCATCAAATGCCTCGCAAGATAAAAACCATCCTAATAAACTAGGGCCTAATTGCAATACAGAGTGACAGTGCATATGAGTAGTTTCTAGAATAGATAGATAGTTAAATATGAAACAAAAAAGCCAAAATAAATTTCTGTATTATTAGGTCTTTCCCATGATAATCCACCTCAGTAAAATACCCTACCCCTATACATTTTTTGTTTCTCGTCTGGGGGCTATAATTGGTTAAGGCTTGTCAAATTCATGCAAATTTCTTTGATGTGACGTAACTTTCGACTGGCCTTTTTGCATTGTATATTTACGACTTGCTTTTATAATTACGACCGGCTTATTCAAACATTCGCAGGTGGAGGGGATTAGAAAAGTCCATTCACTAAATCTTATTCGTCTCCAAAAGAGTTTAATATGACATGGTATGACAACAATGTTTATCATACAATTTGGCTCTTTTTCCTTCCCCCCCTCCCCCCACCTCAGACGAGCTTCAATTTTTTAGTGTAACGAGTGGTTTTACGAGGCAGGTGGGGGGGGGGGGGGGGAGGTGGGGGGGTGGGGGAAGGTACAGGAAAATTTGCAGGTGGGGGGGGGGGGGGGAGGAAAAAGAGCCTACAATTTCAAACAATTAAAGAAGGCTTATCATGAATTTTTACAGACCGAAAGAAATTGTATGAAAAAATATTGTTTCAAAATTTTGCGTGTTAACCAAAAACACAATAACTAAGGGTTTCTATCATTAGAAAACCCTGAGTGTAAGTTGCAGTTACCACGCATATAAATTGCATTTGGTGATACTAGCGATGTACGTTAATGTTAACAATCAAATTTTTTATTCCACTTTTCCACTTTCTACCCCACATTTAAAATGTTCTCTCTTTTTGGTCGTGTTACGAGTTATTATGGCTGAGTTTAAGATGTAATGTATGAAAAACAAATTAGCTTACAATAGTTAGGTTGTTCCCAATTCAAAACTTGGCTCTTTTCCAGTTTCCCTACTTTCAAAATCAATTTTGAAAAGCTTATATAACATTGTCATATTGCAATGAAATTTGGCGTGGTGAACAAATCGACAATTGTGAACAAATTTGTTCATCATACTGTACAGCGTAACATCACGCATTTAGCCGTGATAACACGTAAATAAACATAAAACTCGGTATTTTGAAAGGGGGGAAACTGGAAAAGAGCCCAAAACTTCATTCCATATTGACAACGTGAAAAAAAATATTTGCAAAACTGAAATTCAAATGTAGGGGAGGGGAGTGGAAAAGATCCCAATATAACTTCGACTACCTTTTAGACACAAAGCAAAAATTATTCTTAAAAAGTTAGTTGGAGCGCAGAAACGAGTTTGCTATCAAAATTGGAATAAACAAAGTTTAACCTCAAAATTGTTTTCTTTTCTACGAAAAAATGCAAATCATACAATTTTTATTGTGAAAATGTATGATGAACGTATTTTTTTTTCAAAAAGTTTTGCTTTTAGGACAAAGTTGCTTTCATGTAAGAAAAATTATCAATAATTTGAGCTCTCTCCCCCCCCACCTCACACGAACAAGGTTTTTATGGTGTAACGAGTGGTTTTACAAGGTTTTTTTATGAAGACCAAATATGTTTGTTATAAACTAATTAGTCTGTATTTTCATAACAATCGAACAATGTGAAAAAAATTTTTTACTTGGAAAATTTTGCAGTTGGGGGGGGGGGGAGAAAAAGAGCCCTAATTTGTATTGATTGTGTTTCAAACCAATTTAAGATATATTCAGAAAAAAAATTAACTGAAAAAATGCTTGTCTTGTAATTTTCTTCTATGAAAACTGTATGATAAGAATTTTGCCCATAAGCTCCATATACGAAATTGTATGTCAAGCATTTTTCTTGTATAAACATCAACTTGGGGACTTTTGTTTGATCATACCCATTATAGACCCACCCGCCCGCCTAGTTAGAAAAATCATGGCCCCTCAATGTGATTTAACTCTTATGGGGTAGGGAGAAGAGGGAAGGATATAACTGCTAGAGTGCTAAGCTGAGAAATACCCTTTATTTTCACCAAAAAATCATATTTGTTTTATATAATCGATAAGTTGGCTCTTTTCTAGTCCCCCGTTGATTTTTTTGATTTTTGGCAAGGTCGTATGAGGATCAAATTTGTATTTAGTAGCCCAATTACTCTATATGCCAGTTTTTCGATAATCTAGCAATGTAAGCATACGTTTTTTATTCCAAATTACCAATGGGGGGGGGGAGATCGCAAACTGATTCTACCTTGATGCTGTCGCTCGAAGCTTTTGGCATGTTCTGGGCTCTCTACAGCTTCAGATATCTATTATTAGTTAGTTAATATAGTTCAGCAATCTGCACGTGCATAGTATTGTGTCTTTCTTGTTAGTTATC